CAAGCTGATAGGCAGCCACTGAGCACCAGTGGCAATTATGACACCTGGGCTCTGGTGATGTTATTGAGCTGCTCTTCAATGACGAAGCAATGATAATCATCTTAGAATTGCGGAGCTCAAAGGGACCCTTTGGATCATCCAGTCCAGCTCCTGTCAAGGAGATCCAGTAGGGAACTGAACACTTGACTTCTGGCTCCGAAAGGCTCCCAATCTGGCTCACAAGATAATTGGCCATTGACAGTCCCTGCTCCCAGCTCATATCTTAGAATTGCGGAGCTCAAAGGGACCCTTTGGATCATCCAGTCCAGCTCCTGTCAAGGAGACCCAGTGGGGAACTGAACGCCTGACTTCTGGCTCCAAAAGGCTCCCAATCTGGCTCACAAGATAAGAGGCCATTGACAGTCCCTGCTCCCAGCTCATAATCTAAAATGTAAGGCATGACATACAAGGAAAAAGAGAGGCGGAGGGAAGAGGAAAGCAGGATCTCAAGAACTATGTTAGGGATGCCCACAATTCTGCACATGTTCCGTGTGAACTCATGAAATTTCCTTTAAATACCAGTTTGTCATGTTCATGAGAGATGAAATGTTAAAATAGTCATTGCACCTGCATCCATTTTGGGGGCTATAGTACAAGTTGGAAACCTTTTAGAAACTTCTCCAAGCATTCTGCTTGGGCTAATTAAGAAAAACTTAGACATCAGCGGATTCTTTCTCCCAGCTGTGTTGAATTTCCTTTTTAAGTATGCACATCTTATAGTAATAAGTCTTACCAGGTTTGCAAGCATGTAGTGATAACTCCTGGAATTTTTATTAAGCATAGCAACCTGTAAAGAAAGAAAAGAAGATGTATGAGCTTGCAGAAGAACATTACAGTAAGACGAATTAAAAGCCAGAACGAATTCCACGTGGACTGCATAGGAAGGGGACTACGTATATGGGTGACCCCCCCCCCCATTATATGCAGAGCAATGCTCCACACTAGGAATGTGATGAGAAGGGATTCTTGGATTCTTGAAATTCAAAGACTACCAATCCCACAAATCAGTGGGAGCTTGTGAGGCTGAATTATGAGATAGGGAGCCTTCAAACTGGCAAGATATAGAGCAGCTTCATCACCCCCATGCACTCTCCTTCCACTTCTTCAAACTGTTAGAAAATTCTATTTGCGAAGGCTTTCACGGCCGGGATCTAATGGTTGTTGTGGGAACTGTGAAGCTCAGTTTCTCAGCACTGAACTCAACCATCTGAATTGGGCCCTACAGGCAAATGGCTACTCCAAAAATGAAATCACAAGAGCCATCAAACCAAGAAAACAAGACCGAACTGAAGAAGAAAAACAGCCACCCACAAATAAAGTATTTCTGCCATACATCAAAGGGGTCACGGACCGCATGGGGAAACTTTTGAAAAAACACAACCTACGTACAAACAGTATTCAAGCCCACCACAAAAATATAACAAATGTTATGGTCAGCAAAGGACAGAAGGGACCCCCTCACCACTGCAGGAGTATACCGGATACCTTTTAGTTGTGGCCAGGTATATATTGGAACCACAAAACGAAGCATCCACATCAGAATCAAAGAACATGAGAGACACTGCAGACTAAAACAACCAGAAAAATCTGCAGTAGCTGAACATGCCCTCAGGAGTATACCGGATACCTTGCAGTTTTGGACAGGTATATATCGGGACCACATAATGCAGCATTCACACCAGAATCAAAGAACATGAGAGACACTGCAGATTAAAACAACTGGAAAATTCAACAGTAGCTGAACATGCCCTAAAACAAGCTGGACAGGAAATTCTGTTTCAAAATACTGAAGTACTGGACAACACCAGCAATCTGTATGTTAGACTGCACAGGGAAGCCATTGAAATCCATAAATATAAACACAACTTCAACAGGAAGAAGAATGCCTGAAACTAAACCTGACCTGGTGGCCCATTCTGAAAAATACAACCTGCAAAAGGTCAACAAACTTTTACCCAGCCAAAAGGGCCAGAGATCATTGCACAAAAAAGACCAGCTAACGACACCCATCAATCACAGTGACTATAATCTCTCCCTCTCCCCCTCCTCCCTCATCACAACAAAAACATGCTGATCACCCTACCTCCTGAAAAAAGGCAAAAAGCTGTTCCCAGAGCTATAAATACTATCCAACAAACAGCAACAGGGCATGGACAGAGTTCCTACTCCAGTCCTCTGAAGATGCCGGCCACAGAGACTGGTGAAATGTTAGGAAGAACAACCTTCAAAACATGGCCAAAGAGCCCGAAAAACCCACAACAACCAACTGTTAGAAAATTACCCTGTGGGCGTTGTGAGGCTTTCTTGTGACTCACAAAGATGCATCAGGGGTGGGGAATGAGTTCCCAAGGAAGTTGTCTCTACATGGTCAGTTGGCCTCTTGGTCCCATAATTTGGCCTGCTGGGTTCCTGACAAATTATAGGATTGGGAATCCTTGAATTCCCATCCCTGCGGATCACCAAATGTTTCATTCTCTAGCCATCCCCTGACACCTGTGGGGTGCAAGGGTTGGCTTTGCACACACATGCACAAGAAAACACACCCAAGGCTTTGATTTTGTGCCCATTTACAACACCTTGGATGGATTCACATCTTCACCTGCAAGTTTACTAAATGCCAGAGGAATTTACTAGAAATATGAGTGGGATTGTTAGAAATTGCTGGTGCAGAAGAACATCATGACGTAGGTGAGTTTCCATGGAGAAATCTCCATGAGTTTTTAAGGAATGAGTCATGTGTTGTTAAGAACTTTAAACGAAGCTGTTCATCTTTTTCCCTAAGATGCTGGATTTGCTAAACAAACACTGCGTCCTACCAGTCAGTACAGGCCAATTATTGATAAAAGGAAATGGTAACCTAGGTCAGTAATTTCTCTAATACTAGTGACAGTGCTGTGCTCACGGAAAGGCACTTAAGGAATGTTCAAGCATTCACTGCCCTAGCCAAATTTTATATGGTCTCCCGCTTAATAGTCTTTTTCACTTTTTTGGGTTTCATCTTTTGGATGCCTGTGCATAAGGAATGTCTTCTTTCTTAGGTGGTATGTAAATATCAGCCCTTTTAGTGGAAGAGCATAAAACGGCTTTAGTTATTTAAAAAATGCAATGGGATTCCCTTCCCTTCTAAAAACAATGTTCCGCCCCCCCCCCAACATTTTATTTTGTTAAGACAAAGAGATTCCATTCCTAATATTTTATCTTTTGGATTTCGTGTGCAGGATATAAACATAAACATTGGCTTGTCTTGCACAGTGCCCGGATTCATGCTTTAAAGCTGGAGAAAAGCTGGACCTATAAAATGTAAGCCACGTGATCACCTTTAGTCCCTGATTATCTACAATCTACAGTCTAAAAGGCTTTCTGGCTGACAGTTTTCTTGCTTACTCCTACTGAAGCACCAAGGGATTTGGAAGTTCCTAGCTCAGCAGAGCTATGCAGAACAACTCCTCTGAGCGGAATTGGTCCTTTCAGATTGGATGGGCACTTCTGGTCAGCCCTCACCTGAAGGTGGTGGGGCAGAACCACAAAAAATTCAAAGGCCATACACATGTATCCCTGGATCTTGGAGGGCTGTACCCACTGCTATGATTTCTATCCTCTAAAAGATGATCTTATCTTTTTATAAGCTAATGGCAAGGCCAGTTCTGGAGGTCACCTTGAAATCTTCACATCACCAGTGACCGCGGACCCCGTTTCTCAAAATGCTATGAACCTGCTCCAGGTTTCAGTGTACAGTTTATAGGAGCAATTGAAGGTGCAGAACCTTTCATCCCAAATGGTTTGGAACCTCAAACGGCATCTGTAAAACGCAGATTAAAACCCATGGTGGACTCACCGCACCTCTGAAATTGGTGTCACCAGCCACACTGCTTGAAACTGAAGACTGTCCTTTGTAAAGGAGGACACAGAGTAATTCTCCAGCATCATCCACTAAGCACCTGAGATTTCAGGGTGGTTTCCCAGCACCGCACAGCCCATACCCTCAAACTGCCTGTTTATTCCGCCTTCTCTTTTGGTCACGTCTGTCCACCTCCCTGCCCTGCCATTGCCAGATCTGACTCTGCTTTGGCTTGAGGGCTTCACATCATAGAGCAGCCAACGCTCTGTATGGTTTCTGTGATATCTAATCGATTACCTGCAGAAACTCCAAGAGCTATGTGCAGTTGTAAGATCACTGTGAGGCAATGACTCCTGTTTTAGAAAATACAGCATTTTCAGGAGAAGTTCATTTTTTCCCCCTATGCAGAGAAATCCATGCTTCATGGAGGGAAAATGTCTTAATTAAATCCTAATAGCACCTTTAAAATTCAGCACATCTTCCTAGCCTAGAGCTAACGGTGCATAAGCCTTAGCAAACATTAACAGAATCAGAATGGAAAAGGAAGCAAACAGATCAGAACAAATCAGGTATGTAGGCATCAGCACTACGGATGAAAATGAACTTGATAATCCATTTCCACGAAGCAGAAATACAGGATGAGACCATATGAATCGTGTCAATTCTTTATACTTTCTGGGCTGTTTCTTTTTGCTTCAGAAGCTGGATGGGGAATTGTCAGCAGAGGTACAACAACTGTGGAAAGATTTTGTCTATTGCCTTATGTGCAGTAGTTCTGCTCAACTTGATTGTGCAAGAGGGACACACAGACAACTTTTGGTGTGAGCCCAGCCATGAATCAGTGCAGGTCCCGGACTTTTCAGAGTTCAAACATGGCAGTGGCATTCGAGACCCGTTTTGTTGCATGGCTGGTGTGCAAGAAGCTGAGCAGGCAGTGGCACAAGAGATGGGGCAAGCAACGTACTTGTACAGTGGCGTCATCCAATACAACTGCTTGGGTGGTGATTTCTACTCTGCCAGCGTTCCACTGGTTTTAGACTCTTAGCATTAATACTTTATGGCCACAGTTGTCTTCTGCAACTTCACACCATGCAAGGAGGAGGATGTCATCATCCGCTGTCCTCGGGAGCCTAGGGATTGTGTGTGTGTGTGTGTGTGTGTGTGTGTGTGTGTGTGACATTAATAGTCAAAATGTCCACTGGATCACTGGCTCCCATCCCCATCTCAGTGCACTGATCTGGAAGCTTACATGGCTTTCATTGTACCAAGAAGATTCTGGCCTGTGTCTGAACAAAAAAACCCACAGATGGGACTGTGGCATTAAGTATCCTTTAGGACAATAGTTCACAGCCTTGGGTTACCCGCACGTTCTTAGACTACTATTCCAAGAAATCCTGGCCAGCACAGGTAGTGGTGAAGACTTCTGGAATCTGGAGTCCAAGAAATCCTGGGTTACCCAAGACTGGGAACCATTACTTTAGGACATGTTTCATCCTTCTGTATCTACAATTTCCCACATCTCTTTTTTAAAAAATGTCAATTGTGGTGTCGCTCCCTGCTGGAAGTGAACAATAGCACCTTCCTCCATCCTGCAGTCACTTCATAACCACACAAATACCCCTGATTCATCTGAAGAACAACATGCCTATTTTGAACATTCTTTTTAAAGAAGAGAGAACAAAGATGGGGAGGGGGAATCCAGTTGGACCATTTCTGTCCTGACATATATCTGGTGGATTCTACAATCTCTATTTTCTGGAGATAACTAACCATCACAATGTTGGTACCAACGCTGCCCACCCACAAATGTTTGGTGTGGTCCTGCTTCCTTATCCTTTGGGAAGAAATGCATTAACTAATCAGAGATCAAAAGAAGATGCCATTTAGTATAAAATTAGCACATACTAATAGGTATGTATAAATGAATTCTATTGAATATCGTGTTGTTT